GGTCTCCCTGTCTACATCCCCTTTCATTTGCAAGAACTCGGATGAATTACCATGTTGGATAACACAAGATGTTGTCTCATAGGTTAATATATTTATCCATCTTATCATTTCAGGGCCAAATTCAAGTTTATGTAAAACCAGGTTGATAAAGTCTTTTGAAACAGTGTCAAACGCTTTTCAAAGTCAATCAGAATCAACAAACCAGGAATGTTTTGTTTCTTTGTTTCAAACATTATAGCATATAACAATCTTGTGTTTTCACTAATAGTCCTACCCGGTATAAAACCAGTTTGGTTAGAGTGAATAAGTTCATCTAAAGTAGTTTTTTTAATCTATGTGCAATGCAGGAGCTGATAATTTTATAAATAGCATTAAGTAAAGTGATTGGCCTCAATTTTTTAAGTAATGTTCTATCTTTTTGGGGTTTTGGAATACAGGTGATAACACCCCTTTTCATATTCAAAGACATTTTCTTTTTTTGTTGATACTTCTTTAATAAATCTATAGATCCAAATTTTTAATTCTTTCCAATTTTTTTTAAAGAAATCAATAGGAAATCCATCAATCCCTGGGCTTTTATTATTCTTCATCCTGCAAACAGCATTGCTAATTTCATCCAAACTGATTTCTCTTTCAAGATAATCTCTTAGTGTTTTGTTTAAAGTTGGAGTTTTAATATCCTTTAAGCAGTCTTCTTCCTTATATTGTTCCTGAGAAGCATAGATAATTTTATAAAATAGTTTAACTTCATTCAGTATTGATTTGCTGTCAGTGATTTCGTTCTTATCATTAGTTATTATCTTATTAATTGATTTTTTTGAGACATTCCTATTTTCTAGATGGCAGAAATATTTTGAAGGTTTTCTCCTTCTTCATACCAAAGAATTCGGTTTCAGTTTGTATTCCTTTCATTTCCTCACTTTTAATTTCTTCCATTTCTTTCTTATATTTCGATAGTTCATTCAAAAGTTCTTCATTAATGTTTTGGAGGTTTTTTCGAATAGTATCTTCGACCTGTTTTATTTTTAATTCTAGTTCTCCTGTATGTTTTACCTTTGTTTTCTTTATGTAGGATGAAAAAGATATGGTCTTTCCTCGGATTTTCATTAATAATGTTTCTAGAAATAAGGAGTTGGAAATTGTAAGTTTAATATTTTCAGTGTTTTTAAAGTTATCTATGATTGAATAGTTGTTTGAGTCGGTTCAATTAGCATTCAATCCGCCTGTTTCTGTAACAGGATATTTTGTTTACAGCCTTTAGGAATAAACTTTTGGATTTATCATTTCAAGTTATTTTATGTTTATTAGTTTTATGTGATTGGATTAATTATCAAAGCAGTTGGTCTATTTAGGATGAACAGGTGGTTCACCTGTGGTTATCTCATTCCTGTCTCAACAACCACGCTTTTAACACAATTGCCCTCGGCGTCCTATTTGATTGATATTAAATAACTACAGCATATCATTTGCACACTTTTGTAGTCACACTGCTTACACCTCTTCACTGGACAAGCCACGCAACCTAGCTCAGGATAGACATTTACTTTATATTAACCTAAATAGAATTTCAACCTATCCATATTATTGTATCCAAGTATTGTAAATAATAATGTTTTATATCAAGTGCCAGTATATATTTAATTTAACAGTTTTAAATGGCTAAATGTATGTATGTGTGAGAGCATGATTTGATTTGTAGTTCGAATGTAATGTTGAGTAAGAAGTTGGCTTTTGATAAAGCAATGTCGCCATAATAAGGTATGGTCACTGTTAGAGGTGTGACGATACGGAAATGTCACGATACGAATCGTATCGCGATATCTTGGAACGATACGGTTCGATTCGATGCATATCACGATATGCTATCTTTACATATTTTCTTTAAAAAAAAAGTATATTTTGATAGCAACATAACAATGTAATGTTTTACATAACTGTCAATTTCTAGTGAACATTAACAATTTTAAGGTCAACGATACATATCACGATACGAAAAAAGTATCAATATATTTATCGTCAGATAAAGTATCACGATTATCGTTACTACGATGTATCGTCACAGCTCTAGTCACTGTTATTTGTTTTAGAAACTTGCCCTCCCAACTTCCCCCTCCCCGTACTTAGTGTGGGTATACAGACATCCCCTGGTGTTAGCCACAGGGCATGCAACATTGTTTTCTCTTTAATTATCTACTTGTGATTTAAGTATTACACATATGATCATTAAGGTCGATCATTTAAGTGTTGAGTGAGTGAGTGAGTTTGGTTTTACGCCGCACTCAGCAATATTCCAGCTATATGGCGGCGGTCTGTAAATAATCGAGTCTGGACCAGACAATCCAGTGATTAACAGCATGAGCATCGATCTGCGCAATTGGGAACCGATGACAGGTGTCAACCAAGTCAGCGAGCCTGACCATCCCGATCCCGTTAGTCGCCTCTTACGACAAGCATAGTCGCCTTTTGTGGCAAGCATGGGTTGCTGAAGACCTGTTCTACCCCGGATCTTCACGGGTCCATTTAAGTGTTGAATAATAACAACTATGTAGTGTGTATATGTTAGTAATAATAATAACATATTAGGAACTAGTTATGTGTAACTGTACGTGTTTAGGTACATGTTTAGGTTAATGTATATCATTCTTTCTTGTATTTTATTACAGGATGACTGACTGATCAATTCATCGATTGATACATGGAATAAATGTCACCTCCCATACACAACCGCAGCTTGTCATTTTTATTGACTCACCCCTGCAACATTTACAGTCTAATAATTTCTGCATAATGGTTTCAAGATTTGTAATATTTGTTGATCTTACTCTCCGGATTGCGTCATCAAACAGTGTGCAACCTGCTCTCAATTATGTGTTGTTATTGTTAATCGGCTCTTTGTCATATATAAATACTATGCATATAAGATAAGGAATAAACTGTATGGATGAAAAACTTCTTTATTCAGGTGATGCGATGTTTCGATACAGATTCTTGTATCGTTGTCAAGCAGGTATAATACAAGAATCTGTATCGAATCTGTATCACCTGAATAACGAACTTGTTGCTCCATAAAGTTTGTCCTTATCTGACTCTCAAACTTCTAAAAATGCCACTCAAAGAGGATACTACGTATATGTACTTCTCATCACCTGGTTGTAATAACATTAATCAGGATAATGATGTGAGAATAAACACAAAAAAACCCCAAAAACTACATAACATGGGAACGCTCCTCTATGCATCAACAAGACATTGGTATCTGTAAAGTCGCCTCTTACGTCCAGAATGGGGTGCTGTGGACACATTCTGCACCGGGTCCATGCTGTTGAAGAGCTATTAGCGTTACCCAGCACCCACCACGAAGAGGTTGCTCTTCACGAGTGCCTCCGTTACAAAATGATTTCTTAGATGAATTGCCCGGTTGTGGCGATCATCACCGGGCGTTGTAACACGTGGTCGACCACTCCTAGGCCTGTCTGACGTATTTGTCGCAAACGTTGCATCAGTCTGATGACAGCTGCTTGGATGCAGCCTAAGGTTCTGGCAATGAGTGAGTGAGTGAGTTGGGTTTTACGCCGCTTTTAGCAATATTCCAGCAATATCACGGCGGGGGACACCAGAAATGGGCTTCACATATTGTACTTATGTGGGGAATATCTTATGTGGGGAATATCTGTCTCTCACGCTTTCGACGTGCCATAAACGTGGCATATTTCGTGTGTTCTTTTTGCTACTGTGCTGCTCACGTGTCGCGTAGGCTGTGTTATACCGTCAGTATGAACGTGCATTTCGTGTTACATCAGAAAAATTCGTTTTGGATTTTTGCGACGTTTAGGTTCGTTAACGTGTTTCGCTGTTTGTTACCGGAAAGATTGGTCTATACGTGTATGACGTGGTGTAATATGGTTTTATCGCTTCATTTTTATTTTTGTGAATTTTTATGTAATATTTTGCGGTGGATAGTTTCTTTTGAATACTACTTTATTTGTAGCCACGGCAACTGTGTGGTGTCCCAATTTGTGACATCTCACGTTTTGACTATAGTTTGTTTAACGTTCTCAAGCGTGGTTTCTACTTTCCCCATTGACGTGATATTGTACGAGCGCTTCGATCTTTTACCCTCTCTACAAACATCCCAGCTGTACTGCAGGCAAGTGGAAGTCACGCGGGTTGTCTCCCCTTGTGTTTTCCCGGCAAAAGCACATGGCGCTGAATGGTACCACATGTTTTCTGCGTTTAGGCGTACCGCATGGAGATATAGTACTAGCATTAAATGGTGTTTATAATGACGGATAAAGGGTTTTAAACATTTCAGACGTCTTTGTGAAGTCATTACAAACTGCATAGTCCACATTCAATAGCAAAAACAACTTTATGGTAATTTTATTTTTATCATTAAAATCACTTGATTTTAGTGAACGCAAATACAAAACGGTGTTTTCTACATCATTTAAGAATAAGGCAAAGAGAAGAGGAGACTAATTTTCTCCTTATCTAATACCAAGTTTACATTGGAAAAACATGTGTGAATACCATTCTCTGTTATGTTTCTGTTTCTGCACATTATAAATTACCATTAGACATTTTTCATTTACAATATATTATACCAGCTTCTGTCAAAATCCTGAACACTAGACCGTATTAGAAAAGCACTTTGAAAATGAAAGAAGGCACACAGAACAGTTTCTCCGTTGCTTTTAAAGGTTCTGCTAAGCCATATAGGGTGAAAATATGATCCTTCGTAGAATATCCTTCTCTAAATCCTGTCTGAACTTCGGTTAACAAGGTATTTGATTTGATGTTTGTGAGCGAATATTTAGAATAGATGTAACAAAATTGCCCAGACAGCTGAGAAGGATTGGTCTGTTGTTTTCATGCATTTGGATTCTTCCTTGTTTTATAAATAGGCATATACACTTTACGCACACCCTTGACAGATAAACGTCAACAAACCATCCACTAGAGGATAGTCTCACTTTCAAGAACAATAGATTTCAAGATCAAGCTCAAAGTTCTTTTTATTAGAAAACATTAACAAAACAAACGTACAAAAGGTGTGTTGCATACAAGACGTCTGTGGTGGTGAGATTACAAAGATTTTCGCGCCAACAAAACGCTTGGTGAACTAACACTGATGACCTAAGAATAGCTGTCCTTCTATCATCCTTCTTGTTGAACAGAAATAATCCCGAACACGGATTTGGTATAGATATGAGTTATGTACTAAACCTATGTCAGTATCAACAAACAGAATATGAAGTCACCCTCTATACAAGTTTGACAGAAAGTACACACTATTGTTAGATGTTTACTATTTTTTAAAATAGTCCAAAGAAGGAATACTGAATATGTAACGCAAAGGAACCTGTATGCTAAGCTATAACATTTAAAAGCAATTCCAGTTGAAATCAAGATTTAAATATCTCACTATTGATATGCTCTGCTCTACTGACTTTCTGTGAAATAATGTACAAAAGTCATGTATGTTACTGACACCGTCACAGACCTTGAATGGCATTTCTGATTGGTCGAGTTCATGATGCCATGCAGTATGTTCATTGTCATTTTAATGAGTCTTTCCACACTTCATAGAAATTCTTCCCTGCAACTGAAAGAAATGACGTCGACCTAATGTAAATATGATGTCACTATGAATACAATCTTATTCGTAAGATAGAGCACTAAATGTTTTATATATGGTATATAAAGACGTCCTACTTTCAGTTTTAAAAAGAATGTGAAGGATTACTAGTTGTGATGGTGTGAAGAATTCAAAGACACCATGTGTTGTGTCAAACACAACGGCCTTTCCCTGATTTATCACCATCACATCTGAAAATGCTACAATGTACTTCCTAAAGGTAGCATAGCCATGCCATTAACATGAATGGACTCGACTCCCGTAAGTACTTGTTAGCGTTTTGCTTGCATCATCAAGGCAAAGCTGTTTCAGGCGTGTTGGTCTTCGAGTTTCATCATCAAATGTAGAAGTTGAAGGACTGATACACCCAATCAACACACAGTTGATATGAGATAACCGACGTTGGATTTATCTTTTAATAAATTCAATGCGGCTTAACAGTAGTTCATTGTGTGGCAGTTACTGTGAGAGCAAAAGCTAAGGTTGCTTTTTCCTTCATTTTTTCTCCGTTTGCATGCAGGCCGAAAATCTCACCTGGGTGAATTTTGATATCAGTTTATTGCTCTGAGACTTGCCGTGTCCAGAAGCACGCGAGTTTCTATTTATCATTTATGTTGTTCTTAACCTACACGAATGTCACGGCGTGTCAGCAAAGGCAAACTTGTACCTTTCTTCATCCTTTACAGCTGTTTATATGATGTATTCGTTCACTTACCCTCTCTTTTGATCCGTTTGCATGCACAGACCGAAGCAAGAACGAGGAGCAGGAGGACGACGACTCCCCCGACAGAAGCAACTACAGTGATAAGAAGAAGCTGTCCATTCTCACCCTGGCATCTCGACTCTGAAACATACATTGCTGCCTTTGTTCTCAGAGTGAATACACAACTAAACCATAATAACAATAACCATCAAAGACCGTCATAACAGTTTGTGGTACAATCGAGCGGAACCTATGAAGATTGTAAAACAATGCTCAAAGGTTGATTGATTACGGTATCAATATCCAAGGTCTTTGCATAGCTTTCATATTATATGGACGACACAAGAAGACCACGTCCAAATACGACAGTTCAGTTCAAACATTGCAGATGCAGATTATTAGCAATATACTTGACTTTTTGCTGTTTATTTGTTTTTGTTTTTTTGTGGGCAATTGACTGTTTGACAGATAAAATGCCTACCATTTTTACGAAGGCGTATTGTCGCATTAATCCTTACGATTACAGAAACGGATCTGTCATATTGATTTTGTTTTCATGAACCGGTTTGATGGGGTTTTAATTGTCTGAGGTTAATCTGATGTTACAGTCCAGTTTAATCTGATGTGACTGTCCAGTTTAATCTGTGACTGGGTACATCATTTTACCTGATCCAGGTTTCCATGTGCGCTTGTTGCCGGACACGTCACACACCAGACAGTTGTTTCCAGACTGTCTTGCTCCGTGAGGCACACAGGACCCTTTGTCCAGGCAGTAGGGGCCCTAGTGTGGAATAGGAAATTACATGACTCTTTAGTGTACTCAAATCCACAAAAACCTTCATCAAACGTCGCACACTTAGATTACAAGGTTAAACGTGGTTAATGAGGTATGTGTGTGTGTGTGTGTGTGTGTGTTACGGCTCTATAATAATCATCCAAGGTGTTGCTTGTTTGTTGACATATCAAATTTTAATTCATGTTTATATACCTTCACTGTCCAGTTGAACTTTGCTTCGCCACCTTCAGCTCTGATACACGTACTGTTAAACACAATCAGGCCAACACTGTCACCATAGTTACCGGCACTGTTGGCAATCGATATCCGGTAGGCACGCACATAGTCCACGTCCTCACTTCCGGTGCTGACACTGGCAACGACTTTGCACTGAGCATGGCTGATGCTGACCACGGTTGCCATGCGAACTGTTGATACAACGCTTTCTTGTCCTGATGCTTTAGCCTAAAACGGACATTGGGGCAGAGTGTTTCCATTTATATCAAATTATAACCAATGACTTCTTCGTACAAACTACTAATCCTGGTTTCACTGACAGAGGGGTAGGTTGTGTGATTTGATTTAGACGGCATACCGACCAATGACGTCACAACAGTCACACCATGCCATATTCACTGCGGATGCCGGGGCTGATAATTAACAGTTGCAAGCAAAAAATATAGCATGTGCTTATAATTGCGGAATTGAAAACTAACTTTCACGAGGTTTAAGAAGTAATAGAGCTATAAATTACAGACTAAAACATATTTCCAAAACCCTTTCCACGCAGGGAATATGTTAACAGAAAATCACCGATCTCCAAATACAGATGAAATAAAAGCAAAGATATATGTTTGAAAATGGGGGTGTATGGGAGCTCTTGGAGTACCCTCAAGAAGATAAAAAAAATGAATGTTGAGTGTATAACATAAGAACATATTTACCATGATCTGTTCAACCAAACATGTTGATACACCATCCACAAACGTCTCGCCTCTCACAGACACAACGTCACATGCATCACGTGACATGTCACACGTGACAACAGTTTCTGTTTCAGATAGCCGTGGGGGTGTTGTAAGGTCAACAGAACAGTCTGAGCCACCATAGTTGGTTTGGCATACACAGTCTCCTGTTACAATTGTATGAGACGTCACATGACAGCTCAAACCCATGTATTTCAGAATAAGAATCTACATTATCTCGCTGTGACCGGAAATCAAAGCATGCTTTCAAGACGGGTGGTGGTTTGCTTTTGGTTTACCTTTTGTTTTATATATTGTTACTTAAATGTTATTTTTAAAATCGCTTAACTGGTTGAAGGACGTCGTATGATCTCTGTGAACTAATGGAAGTACGTTTGCAAACTGATAAAATGAGTGATTCCTTTTCATCCGCATTATGTCTTTTTCAGATTTGTGGATATGATTAAATGTTCAATTAGTGAAATTGTGAACACTACACCGTCCTATCCAAAACAATATTCCGGACCCAAATATTTTCTCATATGGAAATCTGAAAGAAATAATCTGTATCACCCAAATATATATTTTTTTACAATGCTAGGTGTCTTAATTACCATTTGTACATGTTCCTTTGCCACTGCAGTCGTTCAGACAAGCCTCAGCCACAACATTATCATAGACAGACACGTTCTTCGTCCCATTCTTTACCTGGAGTTCAGGATCAACCAACACCTCGTGCAGACACTTGTCTCTCACCGTGTCGATAGAGAAACGATAAAAATCCGAAGTGCCTGTCAACTTAGAAAGAAAATCAAACATGATATCACTGTTAATCTGTTCTAACGGTTATATAGATGAAAATGTGTTTCACATTCACACAAACAGATCGCGATTCCTGGAATAACCTGGCTTTTACTTCTGTCCATCAGTTTGTCCATACATTCCCATACTCTTACCCGTAATGAAACTGCAACAATAATATAATGTCTACTTCTATGTTACATACATGGATGTCTACTTCTATGTTACATACATGGATGTCTACTTCTGTGTTACATACATGGATGTATACTTCTATGTTACATACATGGATGTCTAGTTCTATGTTAAATACATAAATGTCTCCTTCTATGTTACATACATAGATGTCTAGTTCTATATTAAATACATGGATGTCTACTTCTATATTACATACATGGATGTCTACTTCTATGTTACATACATGGATGTCTACTTCTATGTTACATACATGGATGTCTACTTCTATGTTACATACATGGATGTCTACTTCTATGTTACATACATGGATGTCTACTTCTATGTTACATCCATGGATGTCTACTTCTATGTTACATACATGGATGTCAACTTCTATGTTACATCCATGGATGTCAACTTCTATGTTACATCCATGAATGTCTGCTTCTATGTTACATACATGGATGTCTACTTCTATGTTACATACATGGATGTCTACTTCTATCTTACATGCATGGATGTCTACTTCTATGTTACATACATGGATGTCTACTTCTATGTTACATACATGGATGTCTACTTCTATCTTACATGCATGGATGTCTACTTCTATGTTACATACATGGATGTATACTTCTATGTTACATACATGGATGTCTAGTTCTATGTTAAATACATAAATGTCTCCTTCTATGTTACATACATAGATGTCTAGTTCTATATTAAATACATGGATGTCTACTTCTATGTTACATACATTGATGTCTACTTCTATGTTACATACATGGATGTCTACTTCTATGTTAAATACAGGGATGTCTACTTCTATGTTACATACATGGATGTCTACTTCTATATTACATACATGGATGTCTACTTCCATGTTACATATATGAATGTCTACTTCTATGTTACATATAAGGATGTCTACTTCTATGTTACATACATGGATGTCTACGTCTATTTGCAATACCTCGCTGGGGACAGCTAGGTGCAGTACATGAATGGCAACTTCAATGTTCAACATCTCAATGTCTACTTCACTGTGCAATACCTGTGTCTACGTACATGTTCAATGCCCTTATGTCTACTTTGTTAAATCGACGACTGTCTACTTCCATGTGCAATACGCGAACGTCTACGCATATGTTCAATGCCCCTAATGTCTATTTTGTTTAATAGTTACGAATTTCTACTTCCTATAGGCAGTGTCCTGGCTTTTTCCCTCTGTCCATGTTTGTCCAGGATACAGTTGTCAATGCTTCCTCTAATCCCAAAACTCGTTGCCAGTTACGTTCTTTTGCATCGCTTGCAACTGATCGCGAAGTCACTGGAATAGGTTCTCTGCAGAACCCGTCCTGGCTCTTTGATCCTCACTGGACTGGTTGACACGTCCATCCGTTTGTCCACTCATCCACAGCTTGCTGCGCAGACGTGATAAAGTTAGCAAGATTTGCGTAATACAATTCAATACTCTCAAAGTTTTAGATACAAAATATTACTTTTGTATTTGTATCGTATTGTTTTTAACTTTTTAACTTTCAAGCGAAGTCACCCGTGAAGATCCGGGTTAGAATTGATCTTCAAATGTAGTCATCCAAAAACACAGATGGCATGACAACAAACATTTTTTTAAAAAGATTTCCTACCCGACGTAATCTCCTTGGTGATTCCGAATGGACACCTGCAGATCTTCTCCTTCGTCTTTCGGTAATTGTGCACGAAGTCGGGGACACGTCTTTGAAGCCCGGGAGAGTGTCACACACCTTGTGAATGGCTGCAGTGCAATTTACTTCCTCAGTGAGTTTTCCATGATTCTGATATTTAGGATCCGGGGAACAGGAACAATAGAGGTATGTTTGGGGCCAGGTTGGCAGTGATGCATGAGAGTCTGGATTAAACAGGTCACTTGCATTATCAACCCTACAACATAAAATGTACATGAACGTTTCAAGAAATCTAAGCCCAGTGAACTGAATCTGTAGTCATGGTATCACATTATAAAACTCAAATGGGTATTACTGTTTAATAACCACAAAAAATGGGCAAGCGGATTTCGGTTAATCAGTCGGAAGTTGCAAGGAAAATTGTGATTGTATAAATTAAGATGTTTGACATGGCTGATTGTGTGTCATCACTCCTTGACGGCGTTGTTCGATGCTCATAATGGTTATCTCGGGATTTCTGCTTATAGATTCAGTGATTGTGGCTGCACTATTGCCGACTGCGGCGTATAAGAACAATCACAGGTTTGATCGAATAAAAGTCTCACTCCCATGAGTTCGAGAATGTAGTAAGAAGATTCTGCCAGTTGCTGTATGCAGTGTCGCAGTCACCCGTTGCCGTGGCGTCTGTGGAGTAGTCACCGTTCCTCAGGACAAAGTCGTCGCTACAGTTTCCTGTCAGTGTCCCACACAGACCCAGACTGTTATTCTCGTCTTGGACTGACGGGTAGATGTAAACGTTGAGGTAGTTACCGTTGACAGTAACTTTTACCTTTCCTCCAGTCGGCAAATACACCTGTGGATGAGGAAGCTGATCGTTTAACCTGGGTATCATCACTATTTGACGGTGATTCATACACATCTTTCATCTTTGTTTGGTCCCCCCCCCCCAAAAAAAAAATACCATTTACCTCCTCTCCACCATCTTAGCTTGGCATCAGTTGAGATAAGCGAAGATTAGAAATTGTCGTCATGATCATGACCTTGTCGATGGTGTAATAGTTGATGGACATCTTCGTATCCCACTTGCTAAATCTATGCTCATGATACAAATAAATGGATTGCTGTGTTACGACCCCATTATTTATAAACCGCCGTCATATAACTGGAATATTACTTAGTGCAGCATTAAAAAACTAAAGCAAAAACATTCACTTGATTTATGACCTGTGTGATATTTGGATCTTTAACTATGGCGTTCCACTGTACTAATAAGCAGAAATTCTATTCGGATTTCTGTTATGTTCTGTTTCAAGACTATACCAGTAGAAGTATTTTTATGCCTCCGCCATAAATATGGCAGGGGCATATAGGGTTACCCTCGGTGTCCGTCCGTCCGTCCGTCTGTCCGTACGAAACAGGTAATGTATTCTATCCACTTCTCCACCATAACCGCTCTGTGGAATTCAATGAACTTATACATGGGCTTTCTTGGGACTCTAATGGTGTGCATCTCATATTTAGTTTTTTTATTTTATCGGTTTTTTTTGTAAGTTTAGAGACATTTGAACAATGGTACATTTTGCTGAATTTCTCTATGATGATAGTGTAATACGGGATGGAGTCTATCCACTTCTCCACAAAAACTGCTCAACAGAATTGAATGAACTTCTACATGTCTTTTGTAGGGACTCGAAAGGTGTGCATTTCATAATTTTTTATGCAATTTCTTACTTTTGTCACTTTTACAGATGTTTGAACTTAGTTGAAATTGGTTCTATTCAGCCAGTGTTCGTTCCATCCAACAGGGGGTGTACGTTATCCACTTCTCCTCAAAAACTACTTATGGAATTCTTTTAGATTACACATGTGCTTTATAGGGACACTAAAGGCGTGCATCTCATATTTTGATTTTGTATTTTATTTATTTTTCCAATTTGAATGGTGTTTGAACTTAGATCAATTTTGTTGAATTTCTCTCTGAATATAGTTTTGTAGGGGGTAAAGTCTATCCACTTCTCCACAAAAGCTGCTCAACAGAATTGATTGAGCTTCCACGTGTGTTCATTGGAACTCTTAAAGGTGTGCATCTCATACCTTGTTCATCCAATTTCTTAATTTTGTCACTTCTACAGATGTTTGAACTTAGTTGAATTTGGTTCTATTCATCCAGTTTGTCCCATACAACAGGGGGTGTACGTTATCCACTTCTCCTCAAAAACTACTTTATGGAATTCATTTAGATTACACATGTGCTTTATAGGGACTCTAAAGGTGTGCATCTCATATTTTGATTATGTATTTTATTTATTTTTCCAATTTTAATGCCGTTTAAACTTGCATAAATTTTGTTGAATTTCTCTCTGAATATAGTGTTATAGGGGATGAAGTCTATCAACTTCTCCACAAAAACTGCTCAACAGAATTGATTAAGCTTATACATGTGTTTCATTGAGACTCGAAAGGTGTGCATGTCATAGTTGCATAGATGTTTATTGAACTTGTTCGTGAATTTTGTTCAATTATTGATCTTTATATGTCTTATGAATATCAGCGGGGGCATCCGTGTCCCTGGACACAATTTTCTCTTGTTTCAAATATGTGGGGGCCGGGGGAATATGTCATCTTCTGATGACTCTTGTTATTTATTTGCTTAAGTAGTAGTACGATGGTGGTACTGCCGCAGATGCGGCTTAGAGGCTTATTTTTATGAAATGAGTTCCCCAGCCCCCATTAAAAACGGCGATGGTCTCGCAAGAGGCATCCTTCGATGTGCCGCCTTTTTTTTGTTTTGTACTCTATAAACACACCATTGTCTAAAACCAGTATCTCGGCTATGTCAAAATGACATCTACAAAGCTTTAACGTGCATGTTTTTACGAGGTCTTTGTTCTTGGTCAGGAAGGCTTGAAGGATTTGTTGTCCGCCTTGTTCTATGAGCTTTTTTTTCTCATCTTCGCTGAAGTCGCCGGTTTCCCGAGTCCTGGTTCGTATCTCTTCCTTCATGCAGTGGTACTTGGCGAGTTCTGCTAAAATCAGGCGGAACTCTTCTTCAGAGATTTTACTCCGCCAGTCTTCTTCGGAGATTTTATTCCCGCCAGTCCTGATACCCCAGTGGCTACTTCTAACCAGAGGACAACGGGTGCGGCCACGATGGTCGACAACAAGCCAATGCCGGCACCCCAGCGACCACAAGGGCCGTGTCC